TATCATCATCTTAATGTGGAGAGAGAGAGAGAGAGAGAGAGAGAGAGAGAGAGAGAGAGAAAATGTCATTATATTTTTCTAATTGGCATTTCCCATTGTAAATCATCATTATCATCATATATTTGATTCCAATGTTTCTTTCTCATGTGATCCCTCAGTGTTAAATATATCAAAAATGTGGAATATTTTCTTCTTCTTTTTTCACTTGTTCACCAATGAAAATACAAAGATTTGACTCGATAAAAAAGAAAAACTAATCAATATTATTCTGATCATAAATATTAATCGATTTGCGAGATCCATGTTGCTGTTCATATGGCTATATCAATTTGATCAACCAAAAATTTGATTAATCTTTTTTTTGTTGATAAGGTTTTTCTGATTCGACACAAACATAGTGTATTTTTGACATCTCTTTTTTTTGCTTTTCATCTGGACATTGTTTTTTGTTGTTGTTGTTGTCTGATTTAAATCGAAAAGTTTTTTCCCTATTTGATTCAAGATCGATCATTGAATTATCTCTCTCTCTCTCTATAGCGGAGAATATTCTTCGATTCTTGAATTATCCAAATGTACTGTAGAACGCCACAAATGACAAATGTCAACCCAACAAAACAAAACAGAAAAATAATAATGATTTTCAAGATGGAAAAAAAAGAATAATCTTAATGAAACAGAAAATAGAAAACAGGATTTTTTGTTTCCATTTCTACATTGGTAGTAGTGAAAAAAAAACAAAATAAAATAAAATAAATGAGATTTAAATCTGATTATATCTGATTTTATCTACTTGTTCATTATTATTTTTTGTTTTTGTTTCAATCAAAATAGACAATGTATAATTTGATTTGATGTATTTATTCAATGATTCCATCATTTACACAATGAAAGTAAAATGAGATTATTTTCAAACTTTTGAATCAATTTTTTGATCATTACACATTTTCATTTGTCACATTTTTTTTTGAATGAACGAATATTCCATTGAATTAATTGAAAAAAAGATCAATTTTTTTGAAACAGAATTTTCGTTGTTGTTCAATTTTTTTCGAGCATCAAATGGATTCTATTTTTTCATCATTTCAAGATGGACCATCAAAATAAAAACATAAAATCAAGTATTGAACTTTTTTTTTTATTTGGAATTTAAAAAAAAAAAATAACATTAATGATGACCAAAGAATCGTTTTGTAAAAGTTTTTTTTCATTTTTTCACATTTACCAAACACAAAACAGTTTTAACGCGTTCGCTACCGGAGATTTCGAAAAACACATAGAACTACAGCAAATAAACGACGCATATATGCGTCGCTGGTAGCGAACGCGTTAAAAAAAAAA